CTCGAGACTCAAGGGTTGATCCAAGCGTAGTCCTTCCTCTCGTCGTCGGTCGCTCGTCCTATGGGCCGTCCTCTTCGGGTTGCTTTGGTCCTTGGTAGCGTGGTAGTGTAGTGGTGCCTTTGGTCTTGAAGAATAGCCGTGGTTGTGTCCTCGTGATCTTGAGTCTGGTCGGGATCTTAATAGGTGCTTCAAACTACACTGTTAAGTCACTGTCCCTACTCGATCCGGGACTCCCGACGGTTTCTTCTTTGAAGTGCTACTTCTTGAGACCTCTCCAAGACTGATTAACACTTTTCTTCCCCAAGACCTCCTTTCCCCTCCTGGATTATCGGTTCTTCCCCCCGATGTCTTCGGGAAACGCCTACCCTCCAATCATCGGTCCAATCTTCGATCATCGTCCTCATTGGCTTCTCCCCTCATGACCAGCCTCCAGATGGCGTGGTGCTGACCGTAAGTAAAATTATTTCTTTATGCATGTAAAATTTCTCGGAATCGATGGGAACAATATTGTTTCTCGTCGATTGTTCCCATCGGTTACAATTTCTTCTACGATGCATTCCAGATCGAAATTCAATCTATGCCTGGCTTGTTCTCAGCCAGGTCTTTGCCCATGAGAACGTGACTTGAACTTGAGATCTTGCGATCATCTTTACTTTTCATTCCTATGAGGGGTCAGCGATCGTTTTGTATTGTTCATGAGTTTGTAAAGAAAATGATTTAATAATTTAAATTTTTAATTTCCATATGTTTATAAGGGCATTTAACAACCGCGCAATTAATAAGTACTGTAAACCATATTACTGTAAAAGGCCGGTCTTTGTCACAAAAACATACTTCTTTGTATAAGGATTGTTATGTAAATGCAGTTGTCATCGTAATTTACAATTATTGATCTGTCTAAGTGTTATTTTTTCAATAAATGTAAATATCTTGTTTGGTAAACAAAGGATGTAATTGAATCTGTAAGTTAAGACAAGTATGCGAAAACTACAGTTTTCCATTAGCTCAAGCCTAAATTATATTGTACTAGCTGTAACCCGCGGGCTTTGCCCCGTTTAACTTCTTCATTTTCAAGATTATCTCGTTCGCATGGCTCATTCACGTCCTGGTTGAAGTTTGTTCGCTACGCTCACTTGCCTTCAGGTTAGCTCGTTCGCTACGCTAACTCGCCTCCAGGTTGAAGTTCGTTCGCTACGCTCACTCACCTTTTCGTTGCAAACTAGCTGTTGTCATAAATGTAAAAGAAATAATAGTGCTGCACCCTGTTGGTAATCCTTGTAACTTTAATGCTATTGAACATCACAGAACATAACCAACTTGTTTAATTGAAACAGCTGTTAAGATTCAATAATTCCATTTCTCATAAGGTTAACATGGGAAACTCCAGAGCCACTGGGGCGGAGCCCGAAAGGATTTTTGAAATAAAAATATGCCTATATGTTAATCGGGAATGTGAGCTATCATCATGCCAAATTTCAGCCCAATCCGACCAGTATTTTTCACGTTCACTTGTCACAAACATACATCCATACATCTTTGAAAACGTCCCTCCCCAATGAATTAAACCATACTTAAGAGTAGATTCAAACCAGGATAAATATAGCGTGCTAAGAAGTTTAGGAGTAATAAACTGTCTCAAATGAAAGAAATTATAGTTAATTTGTCTACGTTTTTTACATAGTTGATTAACATGTGTATGCCATTTTAAATCTGAATCTATATGAAGGCCAAGATACTTGACCGAATCAACAAAATTAATTTTTGTACAGCAACAATCACGAAAACAAGTAACTAAATGACAACGTAGATCGATCTCTTCTTTCAACGACTGTGTCAAATGAGGTTTGTAAGTAAATATCATTGCATTAGATTTAGAAGTATTGACGATTAATTTGTTTCTTATCGCCCAATTTGATATTACGTCCAAATCATTATTAATTTTCATCCTCAGTAAATCATAATTGTTAGCACTGCATACTAAAGATGTATCATCAGCAAAAGCATATATCTTCGATTTTAAATCCATTGATAACATGTCATTAATATAAATTGTGAATAAAATTGGTCCAAGCACTCCCCCTTAAGGGACGCCAAGCCTTTGAGAACATACATCTGAGTAAACTTTTTTTATTTTAACCATCCGTTTTCTTTCATTTAAAAAAGTCTCAAACCACTTAAAACTATTTCCCTGAATTCCATATAACTTTAGTTTATGTAATAATATGTCTTGATTAACTAAGTGAAATGCCTTAGTAAAGTCAAGATAAACTCCTATTGTTGGTTTACGCTCATCAACATGATTAACTATCTCGCTTATATGTCTTTCAACTGCTAGGTCAGTATTTTTACCTTTCATGAACCCAAATTGATTATTTGAAAATAAATTGTTATCTGAAAAATATTTAACTAATTGGCTTTTCACACAAGTTTCTAACAGCTTAGCAAAGGTATTTAAAAGTGAAATCGGTCGGTAATTATTCATTTGCAATGGATCAGCTGCCTTATATACTGGAACAATGAGTGCTGTTTTTAGACTAGAAGGAAAGTAACCTAGCTTTATACATAAATTAAAAATGTCACGTAATATTGGGACAAAAATCTTAACATTTTCTTTTATAGTATTCATACCATCAAAGCCAACAGACTGTTTATTTGGTTTGCTTAAGATTAAACTTTCTAATTCTACCTCAGTAATTTCAGATAAACTTAACCTTGAGCTGCACGCTAGACCGATATCCGGCATGGCGGGGAATCCCGGCCCATACAATTCTCTAATCAGCTTATCCGGCATACCAGTAAAATAGTTATTGAATGAGTCAGCAACTATTTTTTCATTACCCTCAACCTGTACAATTTTATCATCTATATTAATCGATGTTAGTTCATTTTTTGACTTTCTCATAATAGATTTGCATATATTCCAATAAGACTTTGATGCAGCCCTTTACTGCTTCAATTTTAGATGAGTAATAATTAATTTTTTCCCGTCTTTTCAAATTAGAACATTCTCTAGAGAGTTCTTTATATCTATTAAACAAATGTATGTCATAGTGCTTTTTCAATCGAGAGTGAAGTCTGTTTTTTTCATTTATCTTTTTAATTAGTGTGTCCGATATCCATGGAGTTCGATGCCTATTTTTACTGTTAATAGGCCTTAAAAAACTTGATTGCTCAATACATTTATTATAAATATCGTAAAAAACTGTTAGAGATTTATCAACATCCTCACAATCAAACACTGGCATCCAGCTCACTTCAGCCAACCTTCTTTTTAAAATTGAATGATCTACAGCCTTGACAAACTCCTCTTTCAAAGCACTATCACAACTTGTTACGCAATTTACATTAACTCCAGCATGATCAGTAAAGTCATAGTTTTCTAAAGGTACTATGAAAAATTAAATTATTCTTACTTCTGATGAATACATGGTCTAAACACTTTACCCAATTTTCTCTCCCCCAAGTTGGCTCATTTATAAACGACTCAAAACCAAATGAGTTCATTATACTTAAATAATCAATGACACTGTTATTTTGTTCTAAAATGCATAAATTTATATCTCCTAACATAATAGCTGTGTTTTTACAATTACTCAAAATACGTTGCAAATCATTGCGGAAAAAATGAAAATCATATTTATAGTTTCTATACAAAGCTATTAAGTCAATTTCAAAAGGTTTATCATTTATGGTAAAAACTAATGTCAGTTTAATTAATTCAACTTCACGTGACTGAAAGCGTTCATAATTTAAAGTTAAATGATTAGAAATATAAATTACCACTCCACCAGTCTATGTGTATAAGTTGAGACACGTTTGTAGAAAACACTAAAAAGGCAATCTTCTAAACAATTTTAAAATATTTACAACTTTAATTATATAGAAATGTTCATAACACAGTAAGTAATTCCATTAGTTGCATAAGCTTTTACGTGAGTCTTTTTAATTAATTGAAAATTAAGTCTGTAATAACTCTTAAAATAGCTCCTGTAATACCGGTACTTGATAATTGCTTGATTTCTAGCAACGAGTACACAAGTTAAAAACTCAACAATGCATTAACATAACAAGCTCTCTTTCACGCTGCAAGACTAGTAAACGGCAGAAGTAAGGCAGAACGGCAGAACTGCGGTATTGGTTTACCATACACGCCTGCAACGATGCGCTGCAAACCGCGTGACGAGTAGCTAAATGAACCGTAGAGTAAGTGAGCCTTCTAATATTTGTAGAGGGTTCACTTACTCTACAGATCATTGTGCCAATGAACTGTAGAGTAAGTGAGCCGTCTTCTATTTGTGTAATAGTTATCATGAAATAGGCTCGTATAGTATATGAGCCTACTCCTGTAATTTATTTAAATTCAGTATTTTGGCTCGTATACTATACGAGCTTATTCCTGAATTATTCAAGAATTCATACGCTTGGCTCATAGGCACTATGATCTGTAGAGTAAGTGAACCCTCTTAATTTATTTGATATTTTTGATCAGCTCGTATAGTATACGAGCCTGTAGTGCAAGTGAACCTTCAATATTATTTACGAAGCTCGTATAGACTATGATTTGTAGAGTAAGTGAGCCATGTGTTTTAAGAATTACATATTTGGAGGCTCATTGTGTCAATGATTCGTAGAGTAAGTGAACCCTAACCTATAAATATAGTCAATGGTTCTCTCTCACTCAGAAACTCAGCCAAACTACTCAGTCAGTCAATTCAGTTTAAGTACCAGTACTCAGTCAGTCAGATTCACTCACAGAACAGAAGCAGAACTAGCAGTAGTAGCTAGCAGCAAGCAGCAAGCACTAAGCAGCAGTAGCAGAAAGAAGTCAGCAGATGCAGAAGCTGAAGAGAAGGTCAGAGTGAGAGTTGAGTTCTGAGTTCTCTGCTAAGTGCTAAATTGGCTTTAGTTTATGTTGTTCTGTACTTTGTGTAATGTAATGATGTGTGCACTGTCACTGTCACTTTCTTTGTGCTCATCATAGTTAGTGTTAGGCCTAGTGGTTAAGTGCTGTGAACGATTTCTGAGATACCAAGCCTAGCTTATCACTTTTTGATCAATGATAATTTTCATTCATTTTGAATTCGCCAATCAAGATGTTAAATTTGCTTTGTTACATGGGGTAGTTTAATTCTCTCGGTGGTTTTAACTTACATAGACTCAGTGCTACTCTAAAGAAGCAATAATCTTCTCCAGAGTTTAAGTCTCTTCAATCTACAATTAATTAATCAGCCCAAATAAAACTGCATAGATAAGAGGTTAGTTAGGACTATTCGATTTATTTTGACTTTTATTTTTTTTAGGCTAACCTGTAGGCCTAGGCTCTAAGTTCAAGTTTTACGTTTGTCAATAACTGGAGTAAGTTAGGATAAATGAACCTATTACGGTAACCGGCAACAAGGCCTAGAAGTTATGTGCCACTGCTAGCTCAATATGGTTGGCTCTGCCTTGATAAGGATTAGGCTAGGCCTAACTTACTCTAGGCCTAAAGTTATTAGCCTATTTTTCAGGCTGACAAATAGCCTAAAAATTATATGCCTAGGCCAGAAAAGTAGAGTTTGGATAATATATTCATCTCTGTTTAAACTGATAGGCCTACAGGTTGGCCCAACATAAGTTATGTAACTTCTAGGTCCCTAACCTGTAGGCCTACTAACTGAGCCACCTGCCACTTTACCACACTGAAACCAAATTACAAAAATTATGAGGAAGATGAAATAGGCTAGTCACGATAAATTAGGGATGAGCATCAATAAACCATTGATGTTCACCATCTATGGTAGGCTAACATCAATGTCAACCATCTATGTAGGTACTGAAAACATCAATGTTTTTGGGACTTAAAACTTCGATGCTTTTACAGTTTTTTGTCTGCTTTTTGTATCAGCGTGAAACTGGCAATAGGACAGCAATAACCCATTCCACTTCTCCTACCGCCCCTCCGACGAATATACGTCACAGTAAAACGTCACAACAATGATGGCGTCACAGTAGGATTCGTCACAAAGCAGCTGACATAACCTCCAAAATATCAAGTGGCGGGAATTTTTTTTTTGCGAAACACGGCCAAGATGGCGTTTGGCGGTACACGCACAGCGTTGATTATGAAGGTTAAGTAATATATGTATAAAACTGTACAATACGTTGAATGTTAAACTAGTATTTCATTATTTGGAGAATAAAGAACAATATTAAACACGTTTGAGGTTATTTAAAGTAGTAACCACCTTCAATTTTTTCCAAATGATAAAATTATTAGCTGACTACCATAAAAACCTATTGCTGGCGGTTCCCCTTAAGTTTTTCTCTCGTTTTTCTTTTGATATATGTTAAACACATGGTTATGAACAAAAAATGACGTATTCAAGGTTAGCCCACTCTTTACTAGTGTAGCTATGTAGCCTGGAATGCACTTCATGTGACCTTGATTGCACGACGACGCTATTACTAAAATTCATGTTTTATATGTCTATTTACATTATGTAGAGCATATTGCACAACACCAAGCACTTTTTAGCTAATTAAGTAGTTACCGCATCGATTTGAATCCAAATCTAAAATTACTATTTGACTACCATAAAAACCTATTGCTGGCAATTCCCCTTAAATTTTTCTTCAGTTTTTCTTTTGATACGCGTTAAACACATGGTTATGAACAAAAAATTACCTCTTCTAGGTTAGCCCACTCTTTAATAGTGTAGCTATGTATCCTGGAATGCACTTCGTGTGACCTCGGTTGCACGCCGATGCTATTACAAAAATGTATGTTCTAAATGTCTATTTACATTATTTATCTGGTATTGAACAATACTGGGCACTTTTAAGCTTATTAATGTAGAAATCACCTTGATATTAATACAAACTAATAAACTACCTAAAATTACTAACTAAATATAGTAAAAAACCTATTGCTGGCATCTCCTCTTAAATTTTTTTCTCGTTTTTCTTTTGATATGTGTTAAACACATTGTTATGAACATAAAATGACGTAGTATAGGTTAGCCCACTTTTTAGTAGTGTAGCTATGCAGCCTGGAATGGACCTCATAATAGAATAATAAATTACCATAAATTTCTATTGCTGGCCTATCCCTTTGGTACGATTTTCTTTATTCTTTCAAAATATGTTTATTACATCATTACGAACTAGAAAACACGTCGCCTAGGTTAGCCCACTCCTTTACAGTTGAGATAGGTAACTTTGAATTAAACTGGTGTGACCTCGGTTCCATAAGAACCTAATTTACTAAAACTCAACTTTTTTCGTTTATACATGTTAGTTACACCTTAATAAACAATACCTAACGCTATTTCGATAAAAAATATTACTATTTATCAATTTAATGCATTATTTAAAATCTGCCTCAATATAACAATAAATTACCATAAATTTCTATTGCTGGCCTATCCCTTTGGCACGATTTTCTTTATTCTTTCAAAATATGTTTATTACATCATTACGAACTAGAAAACACGTCGCTTATGTTAGCCCACTCCTTTATAGTTGAGATAGGCCATTTTGATTGTAGCTGGTGTGACCTCGGTTCCATAAGAACCTAATGTACTGAAAACCAACTTTTTCGTTTATACATGATAGTTACACCTAAATAAACAATCCCTAACACCATTTCAATAAAAAATATTATTATTTATCAATTTAATGCATTATTTAAAATCTGCCTCAATAGAACAATAAATTACCATAAATTTCTATTGCTGGCCTATCCCTTTGGCACGATTTTCTTTATTCTTTCAAAATATGTTTATTACATCATTACGAACTAGAAAACACGTCGCCTAGGTTAGCCCACTCCTTTATAGTTGAGATAGGTAACTTTGAATTAAACTGGTGTGACCTCGGTTCCATAAGAACCTAATTTACTAAAAATCAACTTTTTCGTTTATACATGTTAGTTACACCTTAATAAACAATCCCTAACACCATTTCGATAAAAAATATTATTATTTATCAATTTAATGCATTATTTAAAATCTGCCTCAAAGAACAATAAATTACCATAAATTTCTATTGCTGGCCTATCCCTTTGGCACGATTTTCTTTATTCTTTCAAAATATGTTTATTACATCATTACGAACTAGAAAACACGTCGCTTATGTTAGCCCACTCCTTTATAGTTGAGATAGACCATTTTGATTGTAGCTGGTGTGACCTCGGTTCCATAAGAACCTAATTTACTAAAACTCAACTTTTTCCGTTTATACATGTTAGTTACACCTTAATGAACAATACCTAACACCATTTCGATAAAAAATATTATTATTTATCAATTTAATGCATTATTTAAAATCTGCCTCAATAGAACAATAAATTACCATAAATTTCTATTGCTGGCCTATCCCTTTGGCACGATTTTCTTTATTCTTTCAAAATATGTTTATTACATCATTACGAACTAGAAAACACGTCGCCTAAGTTAGCCCACTCCTTTATAGCTGAGATAGGCCATTTTGATTGTAGCTGGTGTGACCTCGGTTCCATAAGAACCTAATTTACTAAAACTCAACTTTTTCCGTTTATACATGTTAATTACACCTTAATAAACAATCCCTAACACCATTTCGATAAAAAATATTATTATTTATCAATTTAATGCATTATTTAAAATCTGCCTCAATAGAACAATAAATTACCATAAATTTCTATTGCTGGCCTATCCCTTTGGCACGATTTTCTTTATTCTTTCAAAATATGTTTATTACATCATTACGAACTAGAAAACACGTCGCTTATGTTAGCCCACTCCTTTATAGTTGAGATAGACCATTTTGATTGTAGCTGGTGTGACCTCGGTTCCATAAGAACCTAATTTACTAAAACTCAACTTTTTCCGTTTATACATGTTAGTTACACCTTAATGAACAATACCTAACACCATTTCGATAAAAAATATTATTATTTATCAATTTAATGCATTATTTAAAATCTGCCTCAATAGAACAATAAATTACCATAAATTTCTATTGCTGGCCTATCCCTTTGGCACGATTTTCTTTATTCTTTCAAAATATGTTTATTACATCATTACGAACTAGAAAACACGTCGCCTAGGTTAGCCCACTCCTTTATAGTTGAGATAGGCCATTTTGATTGTAGCTGGTGTGACCTCGGTTCCATAAGAACCTAATTTACTAAAACTCAACCTTTTCCGTTTATGAACATAAACTCTATGAACATAAAATGACGTAGCCTAGGTTAGCCCACTCTTTAGTAGTGTTGCTATGTAGCCTGGAATTGACCTCATGTGACCTCGGTTGCACGACGACGCTATTACACAACTTAAATGTTTTATATGTCTTTTTACATTATTTAGCTGGTATTGAACAATAGTAGGCACCTTTTAGCTTATTGAAGAAGAAACTACCTCGATTTTAATCCAAAATTAAAAAATTACCTAAAACTACTAACTGGCTACCACAAAAACCTATTGCTGGCATCTCCTGTTAACTTTTTTTCTAATTTTTCTTTTGATATGTGTTAAACACATGGTTATGAACAAAAAATGACGTAGTATAGGTTAGCTCACTCTTTAGTAGTGTAGCCAAACAGCCTGGAATGGACCTCATGTGACCTCGGTTGCACGACGATGCTATTACTCAAATTCTTGTTTTATATGTCTATTTACATTATTTAGAGGGTAATGAACAATACTAAGCAGTTTTTAGCTAATTAAAAAGGTAACCACCCTGATTTTAACCTAAATTGAAAAATTAACTAAAATTACTAACTGATTACCATAAAAACCTATTGCTGGCATCTCCTCTTAAATTTTTTTCTTGTTTTTCTTTTGATATGTGTTAAACACATTGTTATGAACATAAAATGACGTGTTATAGGTTAGCCCACTTTTTAGTAGTGTTGCTATGCAGCCTGGAATGGACCTCATGTGACCTCGGTTGCACGACGACGCTATGACACAAATTAATGTTTTATATGTCTATTTTCATTATTTAGAGGGTAATGATTAATACTTAGCAGTTTTTAGCTAATTAAAGTAGTAACAACCTTGATTTTTACCTTAATTGAAAAATTGCTTAAAATACTAACTGACTACCATAAAAACCTATTGCTGGCATCTCCTCTTAAATTTTTTTCTCGTTTTTCTTTTGATATGTGTTAAACACATTGTTATGAACAAAAAATGACGTAGTATAGGTTAGCCCACTTTTTAGTAGTGTTGCTATGCAGCCTGGAATGGACCTCATGAGACCTCGGATGCACGACGACGCTATTACACAA